TCGGCTTTTAACCCTTGCTTAGCTCCGCTCGAGTGATCATAATGTCAGACTAGATGAGGCACCTCGTTCTCCTGCTGCCTCCTGTAGAGGGCGCTTTTTAGAGGCTTATTTTAAACAGTTAAGCACTAAGCCTAAGTCATCCATGGTGATTCTGGCAGCAACTAGCTCAGCCTTTTTCCTTTTACATTTTTCTTTTCTTTTCATGATGACAGTGGTGAGGCTCTGCCTCCCCTGCCTCCACGTCACTGCCAATAGACCATTACATGTTAGCTGCTGGCACCTTTCTATCCGCCTGGCAGGGACGTTGTCCATCTGCCCACTGGTTGGCATGTCCCCCTGTCCCTCTCTCTTTCCTGATCTGATTCTCCCTTTCCTCCCAACACAGCAATCTGTGAAGCTGCACCAGCTGGTGGAATCCCATAATAGTGTCCTGGTCAAGGTGTTCAGGAAACAGACAGGTAAGGCAGCCCAAGAGGTCTCCATCACCCATTTTGTTCGTATCTCAGCCAGGGAGGAGAGAGAGCCCTGAGTTCAAACTATTCCAAATAGTGTTTTCCAAGAGTTCTTTTATTCTTGGGTTATTCAGACAAAAGGCTAATGTGCAATTAAGCTTAATCAGTTCCTTTATATTTATACATATTCAGTATATCGGTATTACCTGTCTAATTTCAAAGTTAGCTTACTGCAGTGAGCTGTGGTAGAGCCTTGGTAGCGCAGTGGTTGGAGTGCAGTACTGCAGGCCACTTCTGCTGACTGCCGGCTGTCTGCAATTTGGCATCTCATCAGACTCAAGGTTGACTAAGCCTTCCATTCTTCCAAGGTCAGTAAAATGAGGACCCAAATTGTTGGGGGCAATATGTTGACTCTACAAACAGCTTAGAGAGCAGTATAAAGCACTGTAAAGCAGTATATAAGTGCTATTGCTCTGCCCAATTAGGCTATTAAGAAAATATAACCAACAAGGCTACTTATATTGCTCTAAGTATCATTGCCCAGCTCGGCTACAGTCAAGGCTGACTCAGATTCTCAGGCTGTTTCTCAAAACACAAAGGATGCCTTGGAATGGTGGGCAATGGACTGGAGAGGAGGGGCTAATGGGGAAAAGGGGGATTTACCTACGCTGCTTCCCATGGGAACCTTTAGAATTGTCTTTGCTTCTTCTGTGCCTCTACAGATCCATAGTAAAGTTACACTCTTGGTAAAGTTATGTCCCAGGAGTTTCCTTTTCTGCCTAGGTCAGTGGGACGGTTGACAGCTACACATTCACACAATGCTCACTTTGCACACTCTCAGGCGATCAGGCTGCATTGCAGTGGGCTGGGAAGCAGACTCAGGACACCCCCTGCCCCAACAAGCGTCGTCTGGGGAATCTGGGTTCCTCCCAGTCTCCCCTTTATACCCAGCTTGGTTACTCTGAATTCACGTGTATGGGCACATCTTGGCCCAGGCACGTCAAGGATGCCACATTCCTTGCCACCCACAGCATTCCTTGCCCACCCACTAATGTTCCACTTGGCATCCTCAGCAATAATTCACTCATGCACACATCCAGGATCAGAGACACACAAATTCCAGCAATGGGAGAGTCCCGGTGGGTTCACAAAAAGGAACTAGAGGCTCACTATGCTCACAATGTATTCTAATATATTATACATCACATCTGTCATCTATCCATAGCATTTAACATATAATATGAGGCAACTTGCTAGACCTCTGGGCAGCTGCAGAGCTGTGGGCGGGGGGGGGGGCTGCCTGGGAGAGGCAGCACCCCAAAGGCAGGAGCTGAGCTGCCCAGCAAAAGTGGCCCACGGGAGGCTTGGGGAGAGCAGGTGGAGCAGGGCCTTCCTTGGGGGGCATCTGGCCCCCGAGAGACCCAAGGGGTGCAACACAATGGCTGCCTTCTACAGAAAGACCCAGAGTGCCCCCCCCCCCAAAAGGCTCTCTTTCCTGACAGGCACCCAGGAGGTGGAGTCCCGCCATCTGGTGCCCGGAGACACCCTGATCCTGGACGAGGGCAGGAGACTGATGCCCTGCGATGCCCTCCTGCTCAGCGGCCAGTGCATCGTCAACGAAGGCATGCTGACCGGTGAGCTTGGCCCAAGGCCTCAGCGCAAAGGGGGGGAGCAGGTCCCCAGTTTGGGGATGGGGAGATTTTTGGCTCAGAAGAGGGCGTGACACCCCCCCCCCCTTCAGGGCAGCTGCATGCAGCCTGCTTGGTTAGAGTCCCGGGGAGGGGGTGGGGGGGTGGGGACAGGAGGCGCAGAAACCTCCCAGGGCCTCTGGGGATGAAGCCCAGGGAAGCCCGAACGCTGCTGGGAACATTTCGAATCGTCTTGTATTTCATGCACATAGAAAAGGGCTTGTGGTGCTGTGGGTGTGATATTGTGTGGAATTGTCAGGCCCACAAATGGAGGCTCAGTTAAAGTGATTGATTGCTGAAAGCCTCTGCATAATTATCCAGTGGAGCAGAAGTTGCCTCCAGAACCTGTGGGAGCTCCATCAATGGAGGCTTTCAAGAGGAGACTGGAGAGCCGCCTGTCTGAAATGCTTTAGGGTCTCCTGCTCGAGCAGAGGGCTGGACTAGAGGACCTCCAAGGTCCCTTCCGACTCTCTCATTCCATTATCCTTGTCTTGTAATTGCAGTGAGAACACGCCCCAGTCCTTCCTTTAAAGTGTCATGTCCGTGGGATGGTGAGAAGGCCCCATCTCAGCCCCAGCCAACAGCTGGCTCATCGTAAAGTCATCTTTAGCCGCTGCAGTTTTAAAGTGGGGTTTACCCACTTCTCGCAAGGTTATTTTATTGCCATGAATATAAATATATATAAATAAATAAAGGGAGACTAGTATAGATCTATTTCAAGCTATTTAGCTCTCATCAGCTAGCCATACCCTTACTGGGATTCGAACCTGTG